TTCTTTCAACCAACTGGCGCGTCGCAACTGCCTGGACCCCAAATATGAAATTGACAGTCGAGGGCCTCTTGCAAAAAGCCAGGCCCGCCTTCACTCAGGGCGGGCACCTCCGCCTTCACTTAGGGCGGGTAAGGCTGCAGACAGGGCCCAGTAGGCCTACCGAGGACACTGATCCTCGCACCTTAAAGAGTCGAAACTTAAACCACCTCCTGAGGTCCAACCCTGCACGGAATTGCACCAGTGACCTCAGAATTGAACCGGAATTGCACCGGTGACCTCGAGCTTAAACCACCAAATACTTCCCGGCCACTGTCTCCCGGGGCTCCAAACGCCCTGCGCGCCAAGCTTTGTGGAACCACCGCCAGTGGTTCTTCATCTTTTTTCCTTTTATTAATCTTCTTTGGCTGGCACCACCAGCCTTTGTGGTCCCGTAGCCGGTTAATGCGCCGGCCCGCGGATGTATGGGCCCAGTACTGGTGGTGTTACAGCTCGGTGCCTCAGCCACTGCCTGCAGTCATGGCAGGGTGTTCAGAAGTGGAACCATGCCGGGCATGATATCCACCCCACCCCACCACTGCATGGCTGCCGTGGGACATCTCACTCGCACACTCGTGGCANTCAGAAGTGGAACCATGCCGGGCATGATATCCACCCCACCCCACCACTGCATGGCTGCCGTGGGACATCTCACTCGCACACTCGTGGCACCCACTATCTTCCTCGAGGCCTTCTTCGTCCTCCACCTCCTCCTCAGGGAGAGTTCGAGGACAGTGTATACCACCTTGTTCCTGTGGAATCAGGGTACCCTTGACAGTACGGCTGGGTCCTTGAGAGAAAGGTCGCAGTATAAAAAAAAAAGGAGGGCAGCAGTGCAATTGTGTTATTGCCCCTGGCCTTTTGCACCCTTTGGCGTCTGGTCTGGACGTCATGTCCGGACCCGAAATCGGGTCCAGACGGGAGGCTGATGCCAAGTGTGCATGCATGAGAGGTTCGCTTCCCCCTCTCTTTCCTCTCCTACATCGAGCCGTCTTCTCCATCTTCCGGTCTTTCTTCCTCCTCTTCTTCTTCCTCCTCGCAAATGTGGAACGCCCATGAGCATGTGAATGGTCTCACGCACATGAACACTCGTGCACGTGTCTGCCGGTGTGAATGCCCGTTCATGCGTGCAAAGAAGAAGAAGAAGAAGAAGAAGAAGAAGAAGAAGAAGAAGAAGGAGAAGAGGAGGAGGAGGAGGAGGAGGAGGAG